GCCGCATCAGACGGAGAGGATGATCCTTAAGTCACCTCTGACATTCCCGATACAACAGAAGTGCAAAGCTGCCAATGAAACTTTGGAAGGAATTGAGATGTCGTGATCACCTGATTGAAGATGAGGACTACGAACCCGAGTTATTGCAGAGTGACGAAAAGCGACTGTTGGACGACGAAATCGATCAGATCGCTGGTCTACTGCTTGATGAAGGTCCGGAAGTAACCGTCGGAGATCAGGGGGGTCACGTGGAGGAAGAGGATGCTAGGCCAAGTTCTTCAATCATCAGGAGTGTATTCTGGAGGTCTCGTTGTCTTCATCAACCTGAAGCCATCCTTCCCAACGGGATATGGCCTTCCAGCCTTGTCGATCTTAACCTCCCTGCCATCATCGTTGATACACCATCCCCAGCACATGTGGAAGATCGGGCTTCACAACTTCCTCATCGCCGTTGGCACGTCCAAAGCCGAGGTGAAGGGTGGTGGCAAGAAGAAGAAAGATGGACCCAAGAGTAAGGAATCTGAGATTTCTGCACCAGCTGAGGCGCAGACATTGCAGATGCCCGGTGGTAAGAGAATTTGAGCAATGCTTCGAAACCGCTGGGGTGGAGTTGAGTGGCAGTACAATTGGGGATTGCGGAAGAACGTGTAAAAGATCAAGAACGTACAGGATGGGAAACATTTGGCTGAGCTTGAATGGGTCACGATAGTTGTAAATCCTGTTGACGGATTGGTTGTCCTCATGGAGTCCAAGCAATCCCAAGATGTTGAGACGAAATGTTCAGCTTGAGAAAGAATTTGTGTGTCTGGTAGTAATATATGCCTGGAACTTCAAGTCTGAGGAGCGGCCGAGGTCGACTCCAAATTGAAATTGGACGAAGGCAGTTGCGTCAGTCATTGAGCGTCAGAGAGACGGATAACGGGGCCGACGGATTTTACCTGGTACGAATGGGAGGAGTCTGCTGAGGTGGTCTCAGGAAAAGTACCGCTCGCGTTACCCGCGATAGGAGAAGACGGCGAAGCCAAGAAATACCCATCGATGCCGTGTGTGACCTCTGAGCTACATGGGCACGCCTCAACAAGACTCGCGGAATTGATACCGCAGAGAAAATCGAGGCCAAACAGAAGGAATTTTGGAAATTGTTTGGACGATTCGTTGAAATCAAACGACACGCCATGACGAAACGTGCTGCGATTTTGTTTGAATTGCCTGGAAGTTGCGATTATCGGAAGGACGAGAGACTGCATGAGGTTGTTCATGATGGCACCAGTCATGAGTTTGACGGGTGTCGCTACGGCTTGAAGCAAAGGTACGCGAAGAAACCCCTACCAATCAAGAAACCGTGGAGAGGCAACAAATTGAGGCAGGACCCTCCACGAAGCCCAAGTCCCCGTTGCCACGCCGACGTACGTGCTGTCCTTCTGGCACGCCTGCGCCTCGAAGACGAGGGGGGCAAGCTTGGAACTCCGGGCGTACTGCTCCATGACGCCGGGCGCCACTCGGCTCTCCAGGCTCGTGGGCTGCGCGCTCTCTCGCAGCCTCACGAGCTCACAGAATGCATGGGCAACTGGAAGCCGCCGAAGCAGAGCCCAACACAGTGTCTGCCCTTTTGGATGAAGAAATCTCCAATGGGCGGGTCGTCCGCACAGAGATGTCCATGGAACAGGCTAGGCGGCACTGGAATAAAGGAATTGCAGTGGGCAAACTCAATGTGGTGCATGCAGAAGGGAAGGAACCACGCCTGGTCCTGGACAGCACAGTGTGCGGGGTGAACCCCAAGTGCAATATCCCAGAACGCGTCAGCCTGCCAATGGCATCCGACGTGCGCCTCGCTTTCATGCCAGAAGACACGCATGCTTCTTTCATGGGCGCAAGTTTGATTTTTAAGCCGCGCGCAGCAAATTCATGGCTTGCTCCGTTTCGCTTCGCAGACACTTTGTGTGCCACTTCGGAGCACGGTTCTCCGCATACTGGTGGCAACGCGCAGGAGCTTTCTTGCTGAGGCTGCTGCACGGCATCCTGTCAGCACACCCGCAGAGAGCTTGGTTGTTTGTGGACGACCTCTTGGCCGCGCTGCGCCGCCCAGATGCGCATCAGCAACTGGCACTAGTTGTCATATTCTTTGCAATTAGTGCGCCATTTCTTGGAAAAAGGTGCCAAAGCTGCCTGACTTGGTGCGGATGGTCAATCAACTTCAGCCTGGAAACGATTGAACTCACTCCACTCAAAACCCTGAAGCTGAAAGAGCAGCTGTTCGCACTGCTCCGCTCCAAAAGAATCAAAAGAAAGCTTTTGGAACAAGTCCTCGGGCTGCTCATCTGGGCCACCAGCCTTCGCCTGGAATTGAGGTCTTGGCTTGCGCCGTTATACGCAGATCTGCACTCGCCGCCAGGATGCATGATATCCGTGCACGCACGCCTGTGGCCTGCATTTCTGTTGGCACTAAACGCAAAGCTGTACTAGCTTCGCCCGTGCGCGGCATTTTTATGCCGCTTGGCTCCAGGGTCCTCCGACTTGCCGCGCATCGTGCCCAGCCATAACCCAGCACGGGAGCGCATAGCCGACCCAGCTGCTGCCGAGCACACGCGCTTGTCCGCGGCAAGCAAAGCTAACATTGAGTGGCTCCTTCAATGTTTTCAGGCCGATTTGGCATGCCCGCTGCGCAGCAAGCCAATCTTGGCATGCAAGGCAGCCGCAGATGCTTGTGCCGAGGCACAGTCGGCATAGGTGGCTGGTTTATCTCCAGCCGCTCCGTCTCCTGTTTGCAGAAACGTGGGACTTCCAAGAAGTCCAGCAGCAGTGGCCGTGCCTCACAAAGGAGGCTCAGCGCTACATAGCGTGCTTCGAAACCCTGGCCCAACTGGCGCTAATGCGCATCGCTTGGACAGCCGAGGGACAAGCAGTGCGCGGCTTATGCATTCCGGCACAGATAATACCGCATCAGAAGCCGGGGTGAACAAACTGTTCACCACAGCATGGCCCTTGCAGATCTTTGTGCAATTAGTCGCCGCATGGGCCTACAAGCACAAATGGTCAGTGCTAGCCTTGCATATCCCAGGCGAGCGCAACGTGTGGGCCGATCAGCTCAGCCGCGGCAACACATCCGCATTCGACAGCAAGCCGCAAGCTCGCTTTCGTTTTCGCCCGCATGATTTCTGGCCCCACCAATGGAGGCTATCAGTGCATCCGCCCGACGCCCCGTGGCGGCCGGAGCATAAGAGTGCTTCGCAAACGCTCTGAGGGGGTGATAGATTAGGCCGTTTGCTTGGGGAGGTTGTGCAGAGGGGTGCAGATACGGGGAAAGGACACGCGATGTCTTTCTCCCTGCACCTCTGAGCCTCAACTTCCAAGCAACGCCTTATAAAGAAAAAGAGCGTGCGCGCATGTTTGTCGGTCGCACCCTTGGACTGCATGTTCCCCTTCGGATTGAAGCAGTGATCAAGATTCTAACGTTTAGGGTTTTTATTTTCCCATATGTTTTAATCTTGATCGAATCTTCGGACGCGTTGCCGTTTTCTGCTTCAAGCCACCTAAGGGACTTGCGTGAGGGCCCCTCACTTTTTTGCGCCCACCCTCCCACCCTGTCAACACTCAGGTGAACTTCCCTGGGCCCAGCCGCAATTCAATTTAGCACCGTGAGCCGCATTTCGCACCAGCGATGGCATGCAATATTTCCGCCAGGGCCCAGCCGCAGCTGCCGCCCAAAAGGCTCGGTGCACAACCAGCCCCGCATGCTGTAGCTACTGCCAGGCCTCAGCCTGGCACCCATTGCACATAAGCCGGATGCACGCGTTGCATCCAGCAGCCATATGACTGTTTCGACATGTCTCAACCTGGCACCGTGTGCCGCATTGCACACCAGCCGGATGCCACATTGCATCCTGCCGCCATCAATGCCTTCGATTGTTTCACGCCTCACAGGTAACACACCTGGCGCCTGGACCGCATGTTCCCCTTCGGATTGAAGCAGTGATCAAGATTCTAACCCATTTGATGACATCTTGGAAGAACTCCAAAGACCTAATGCTGGTCTTGGAGTTGGTCTCTTTGTGTTTGTAACGAACTGCCGCATTGCTTGTAACGAACGTAGTCTGGTCGTACAAATAGCAAAGAAAGGCCTTGCGCCAACATGGTCGATTGTCTGAAGGTCAACCGTGTCAAAAGCAACCCCCCCTGGCTTGACTCTCGCGGGCTTGCCCCTCCGTTTCATTCAGCAGGGAAGTCGTAGCTGCAGCTGTTCGGGTTGGGCCTCGTTTTTAATAGGGAACCCCTCGAACGTGGTTGATGTCGTCCAAGCGATGTCCCGAAGGTCCCTAACGAACATTTGGGTCAATTGGAAACTTGGAGTTTTTCCCATTGGCCGCCTATGCGGCGATGTTCTGTGGCGACGCGGGGGCTTGCTACCTTTTGTGTCTCCTTCTCACGTCGCGTCACGCGCTTCGCTGCGCCGCCTGCCCAACCTGAATCCTGTGAGCAACATGGGCTTCACAGCGTGGCAGGCTGTTGACGGACAACAGGGTTGATCATCACACACGGCCTGAGTGCCAGCCCGATATTTTGGGAAGCAAACTTCACAGGCATGGATTGACTGGAAGCCGGCGTCGAGGTTCTCCCATGTGAGTGGGGAAAAACTGCAGAAAGTGCAGTCCTGGAAAGTGCGACATCGCTTCAACTTCTTGCCGAATTCACGGCTTGGGTGCAACGGTGCATTCAGTTTGAACCAGCCCCATTCAAAATCTCGAATAGTTGCACAAAAAAAACAGTTGAAAGAAAGTTGTGCAACACCTAAAACACAAGACTCCCTTCATGGTGTCCAAGCAAATGGGTTTGTGTTGGTTGTGTTTGCTCTGTTTGAAGGGACCGGCTAAGGCAGCTGATGGAATGAAGCCATGTTCCATGATTGTGCAACCAAACGTGATTTTGCTTGTACGTGTTTTTCCGCCTGCAAGTGGGGGTGGTGCACATGTACGCCATGCTGGCCTGATGCTGTGACATTTGGTTCAAGGCCTACTCAACACGTGGCCGCTTTCAGCTGTACAAGGAGTGCGCAGCATGTGTACTTGGTATGTTTCTGAACCACAACAAAGCAATTGAACATGCATTTTGATGTGCTACTTGGGGGTGCCAAGGCAGGATGACTTCTCGTCAACCTGCCGTACGGCTATCGCAGAGGCCAGGCAGGATGAAACATTCCGCGCTCACATGTTGCCAGAGCAACGATGCACTGTCTGACAAAGGATCAATGCATCTTTGACTTTTCTTTAGTCTGCCTGGTCCGAGCTTCCAGGAGACTTCTTGGAGTTTTTGCACTCTTCATTTGCCATGTCAGGGTGGCCCAGTTTGCCACAGCTGAGCATAAACCATTGCATCAAATGACACACACAATCTTGGCATGACCTGAGGTCTTGACTTTTGGCAATGGCAAGCTGTTTGCCATCCCGGCGAAAGCCGATCACAGGCTGGGCCTTGAAATGTATGCCATCATGGAAGCATATTTCTGGCTGCGAATGAATCAGAAGCCGCTTCAGTACCAAAGTGAAGAGGTCGAGCTCTTCGCTGACGGAGTTGTGTTGTCATGGTTTAGAGGCCTAAGTTGTCGACACGCCCTGCCAGTTCAGGCGCCCCCAACAGAGTGCTCGTGCAGTGGCAGCCACACTTTCAGAGGCTGGAGCCAGTGTTCTTGGTTTAAACGAGGGCTGTTTTTGTTTGGCGGTACAGAGGCTTATCTAGATGGAAAAGCGAATCACAGAACAGAGTGCTCCCGGAGATTTGGAAACTCACAACAAACTGATATTGCCGCCTGGCTTCTCAGCACTTTGTCAGAACATGCTGAGGTTGTGAGTTTTCACAGTCTCAAAAGAACACACAATACCTTGAGCTTGGTGGGTTTCATATGTTACTGTGTTTTGCACGGTGCATGTGAAGGTTCCCTGTAAGCCGTGGACCTGAGGTGCCTGTGTCCAATGCGCAGCTGTCCCAAGAAGATGAGACTCGGCAACTTGCCTTCAGCTGGTACGTTTCTGACTGTCAGGAATGCTGGCTGCATGAATGCAATATCACACGGGTTGGCCATTCGACACACGTGGCAATCATTGATTGCGGTGGTGATAGGCGACACTTGAGCACAGGTTCAGGTTTGAACCACTGAGGCTGCGCATGAACACTGGACTGCCCAGTAACAACTTCTACGCAGTGACGACCGAGGTGCACTCGTTTGCTACACATCATTGTTGTGTGGGTTTTCGGACACGCTTGTGTTTGGTGGACACATTGGCACAGGGTAAGATTGGCCCGGGATGGCTGGTGAGAATTGATAGGTTGGTGAACATGGCAAGCCTCGGTTTTCATGCTCGGGGGAGAATCCAATCGACAAAGCTCCCAATGTGAAAGTTGGGTGACTGGGGTGTGTGGGTGTGCGTGGTGCAGGGATTGTCGGTTGTCGTTTTTTTTTCTAGCCAGGCTGACTTGGCTGAGCTCTTGGATAAAGTCGCCAAGGCAGTGGCGGTGTTCTGCATGCGTCGCGGAAATGTCACATGCTAATAGAGGATTGGGCCGAGCTCTGCTCCCAAGCCTGTCTGGACTTAAAACTTTTGGAATAAATCTTCCCCAAGCAGGAGTGATAGAAACTTGCCTCAGGCCGACAGTATGTTGAAAGGAAGACACATAGTATATACGTATATAAAATAGGTATTGTTGAGGTCCACACACACAGAAGTATACGCATGTGATACATTAACACGCACACATTTCACATGTGTGTGTGTACAACATATATATATATATATATAAATGATACATCTATACACATATACATGTGTATGTCAGGTCTCGTCACTGTCCAAGGCTGCGCTTAGAGATCCGACGAGTTAAACTGATTGTTTGATGCCTCTGTATACTTGCTTTGCAGACCGGCCAACTGCTTGTGGTCGACTACTATGTGGTGAGCTCAGTGCAATTGGCTCTTTGCCTCAAGCGCAACATCCCTTCGCCAAAGCCCCCAAATGTTTGGGGCCCGATTGCGCGCTCTTGAGAACTTGTCATCTCTCTGTTCCTTTCTGTTCCTTGCAGGCGCCATGGTGCAGGCAAATGGGATGTCGCCGCTGTTGAGTTTTTCAGCCTGCCAGTCTGCCAGTGCACGCTCGCCATTGGTGGCAAGCAACAACACACACACACAATGCTAAGATGCTGAAGCCCGCGGATTTATGAGGCTTGCCAAGTTGTTTGCTTTAGATAAAGGTAGGCACTTGAGAAGCATGAAAGGGCGATTGGAGATTAGGCAGTTGGCAAGTGTGAGTGAAATAACGAACCCAGGTAACATTGAGATGACACGGGCTGCATGCATTACCCAAAAGTTCTGCAGAACTGGGGCAAGGACTAGGCAAACCACCCCGTTCATGCTTCCTGAGTTTGCATGCAGGGCATGCCAGAAGCTGTTGCGTTACGTGCAGAAGCTGCTTGGAGAGAACGCTGTTTGTCATTTGCACGTCTTGCCACAAGCATGTATTTAGTGCTGATGTTTGAATGAAGGGCGAGTGGCGTTGTGACTGAAGCACATCGAGTTTGCTGCGGGCGTGTCAAGCCGAAGAGTCGCTCAGGATCGCTCGCGACGAGAGATTCAGCCTTCGTCTCAGTCACTCAGATTGGTTTGAAGCAACTGGGCCTGGCCTTTTGGCTGGCAAGTTCATCAGTCTGCTGCTTTCAGATGTGTCTAGCTAAGGCAATGTGGAGTTCGCTTCTGTGGATTTTGAGCGCGCTGGTGATCTGTGTAGAAGCTGGAGCCTCGTGTCACATCTGTCTGACAAGCGGCAAACAGTGGACGAGAGAAGATCAATGCAAAGCGCTTGAGCTTCCTTGCATGATAAAGTAGATTTCGCTGGAACGGGTGGGAACACACACTTGTTTTCAAGCAACAAGCCAGACTGCCAGGTAGAAGTGTGGACAAGTCCAAAGCTCAGAGTGATGGTTGAGTTCTGCCCATCTGATTTGAGGCAGTGAGAGTTAGTCAATGCTGGGCCGTGACAGGCTGCCAACCATGGAGATCTTTCGTGGCCAGGCAGGTCGATGCTTGCTGCTGGGCTGCTATGCCAAGATGGTTCATCGACTGTTAGGACTTGAAGCGGCGCTGGAGTGGTGCCAACACAAAGAGGCGACGCCCAGAGCATGTTTTGCTCAAAGTGTGGCATCAGAAGAGGTACTGTGGTTTAGTCCAGGCCTGTTTCGATTTGAGAGCAGGTTTCTGGAGCGCCTAGAGGATGAGATGGAAGCAGTCCCCGAGGCGGGTACAGGTGTTCCAGAGTGAGTTGGTTTGTGCGTGCCGAGTTCGAGTTTTGCCCTACACTCGCAGGGGGCGTGGTGGTCTCCTCGCAAGTGTGGTTGTCATGTTGCTAGCCTGCGCCTTCACCACCGCCACTTCCATCCAAGCTCCTCCAACTCCGGCTCAACCTTCGGGATGTAATGCGCAAACCTTCATTGCGCGATACACACTGTCTTTGGAATCAGTTTTTCCATGATGTTTTGCCCCAGCTCATGCTCTTGCTCCTTGGGTTGTGGTAGAAGGCGTTCAGGTTGTGGATCTGTCAAAACCCAATTGGTGTCTAAAGAAAAAGGTGTTGAGCTGTTTATTTCTCAGCTGTGTGTGTGTGTGTGTGTTTGGCGAGCTCTAGATTCACCCTAGAACGGCTATGCATGAACAAGAAAACACGGCTGGCTCCACGGGTACGAAGCTGTGCCTATGCGACGAGCTGACCTGAAGGTTGTTTCGGTCCCTTTAAGCTTTTCTCCCTGTTAAAGTGATTCGAGTAAAAACCAAGCAGCCATTTGCAGCCTGTCTTCGAATCCACCTACTTGAGCAAACCTGCTCGAAAATCCCACTCGAAGTGTTGCAGTCGATGTTCTTCCGCTCGAACTGTTGTCTACGAATCCTCGGGAGTCTTGAATGTGTGTTCTTCAAGCAGTATGGATTTTTTGAGTGCACGTATTCCTTTGTTTGCTTGCTGTTGACGAAACCTCGGGAACCATAATGTGAATCCATTCCCTGATCCTTGTTCTCGGTTTGTGAACGTCCGCGAATCCGAGCCATTTTTCCGCTTTCCAAGCGATGCAAAGTGCTTCAAAGTTCCTGTTCCCCCCTGATTGATTGCGTCGGATGCAGAAAAAGCAAGCTGCCAGGAAGCGGTGACGAGCTGAGAGGATTCACCTGACGGACCCTTGACAGTTTCAGCGCCTGCGCGGGCCTATAATCGAGATTCTGATCGGGTACGCCAATATCGTGGCGTCGCCAATGCGTCAAGTAGCAGCTTTTGAGGCCCGGGAAGCCTCGGGCAGACCGCTTGTTACCCAGGTGCGGCTGGTGATGCACGGGCTGCTGGGAAGGTTTAGGCCACAGCCATGTTGCTCTTTGGATATTGCATCAATATCACCGGAAAAGCCGGCGAAGCGCTTGCCATCAAAATTCCCAAAACTTGCGCACAAGCTTCAGAATGCACGTCGCCTGTCACGAAATCTGTACCTGACCTTGCGAGAGTGCTGCGCCTGCCGCAAAATCCGCACGTGACTGGACGCGTGCCAACGGGGATTTGCCAAGTGCGTGTTGAAGCATTGCCAAAGTACTACGCCTGTCACGCAATCCGTGCCTGTGCTTGCAAAAGTGTTGCGCCTACCACTGCTGCAATTTGTACCTCAGGTTGCCGAACTGACGCATGTCCGTGGGTCCGAACCCGTTCCAAGACCGTTCCACGTCGAGAGGCGTCGCCCTTGGGGTAGCTTTCAGCCAGCCGCAGCAGAGAGAACACGCAGAGGGTTGCTCCTTTTCGAGATTTCTATTCCCGCGCCACACGCCCACGCATGTTTCCTCGCATGCTTCATTTTGTTCATCTTATCGTTGCGCAGAGCTGCCTTTCAGTTGGTGGCCTATCACAGAGAGTTACTTCTAAACTTCCTTTGATTATCAGTGAGTTTTCTTTGTTTGCGGGTGTGTGAGGACCCCAGCAGCCTGGGTTACAGGGCGAGGTAGCACCTTGCGCTCTTTCTGAGCGCAGGCCGAGAGTAATGCCTCCCCAAGTTCGGTTCACAGCCACGTCTGTTGGTCCAGATGCCGTTTGGTTTGGGTTTGGGAGGTGTCGAGGGAGCTCCTCAGGCTTCAAGAGCCGTGCCGTTCAGGCATCGCCAGCTTGCAAGCTGCAGCTGGAGAGCATGCTATTCAGTGAGAAATATTTAGGAGCGTTTTCGGGATTCCCAGTGAAGTTTTGCGATCCAGCTTCCAGATTTGCGTAGCACCACTATTGCTAGGCCTGCTATCAAGCGGCAGAGCCTTATTTCAGTTTGACAAGGGGGCATCCTAGCGTCGAAAGGGTTATTTTCTTTTGCGCACATGTGCGTTGCCAAGTTGTTTGTGCTATGAGACACACAAAAGCAGTAAAATACTAGAGACACTGCCAGTGGATATTGCTTCCCCAGTGCTAATATGTGCGTTGACACATCTTGCAGAAGCCCAGTCTTGCATTGTTGACTTGAACTTAAGCCTAATGCAGGCCACAGTATGCCTTCTTGTTCGGCACTGGTGCCTTGGCACCAAAGCCTCGGCTGCTTGACTTCGTTTCGCTTTTCCTGGGGCGTCTCTCCGACGGCCTCTGGGAGCCAAATCAGGCAACCTTTGCGAATTCGCAGCTGCCTGACGAATGCAAGCACCCTTCAAGGGCGCAACCGCGCAAGGAGCTTGCACGCGCACAGATCTTGCATGTCCGGGCACACAGGGGAAGTGCTAGCACCACGGCTCCTTGTTGGGACTGTGATGCCAAAATCCAGAGTTGTTGATGCCCTCTTAGTGGCTCTGGCCTTGGTAGCTGTGAAAGATGTTTCAAAGCGACCTCTGTGCCAGCATGCGTGTAGCTGATGCCACGAACTTGCTGAGATCAATCTTCCTAATTCGCGCTCCCGAAGGTCTGAACGTCGTGACGATTGGATCAGATCTACCAAGGTTGGAACAGCGGTGACCAGCCACATTGCATGGTTTGTCCCTTGGTGTTAGGTTTGTCCCTTGGTGTTGCGTGCTCGGAAGGAAAGAGCTAAGGGGTATGCTGAGAGCTGCCACAAGAAAAGCTGTCATGCGTATGATGACTTTTCAGCTGACACTGCGTTACTGTGTTTGTGGAAGCATAGCTACATCCTGTTGTGAACATTCAAACATTTTTCAGTCCATGGGAGCGGCTTATTTTCATCCAGTCTTTGCAAGATGCCACTCAACATCGTAACATCCTGGTTGATAAAGGTTCACGTGAAAACGGGTGAACAACTTTTCCGGAGTAGAGTTGGCATGGCACCGCTTCCAGAGCCCAGGGTTCCATGGCGGGCAGAGAACAGGGTTGACTGGACAGATATAACGATGTACTGAGTACTGGTTGGCCACTGGGAAGCGCAGACAGTTGGCCCTGAAAGGTGCGAATTCCCTTGCAAGTGCATGAGGCCACTGCCCATACATCGCCTTAGTGGGTGTGACATCGGAGGTTCTCAATGCAGACCACTCGGTGCCCGTTTGCATATTTTGCAAAGCTTGATCTCGGGCAGCGGCCTGCGTGCAAGACAACTTGAGCTGCGGTGGGCTGCCTGCCAATGGGCACATGATCTGTGAGAATCTTGCATCACAGACACTGACAGACAGATCTACAGACAGAGACACAGACAGAGACACAGACAGAGACAGATACGCAGACAGAGACAGAGACGGAGACAGAGACACAGGAGCTTACAAGTCTACGAATGCAGGGTTTCAGCCTTGTTGCACTTGCTTTTCGACGGTTGAGTCCGTTTCTTCAAGTCTGACCTGCAGCCCGAGTTTCGGTTTCGGTGACCTCCTTTCGGAGTGCTGTTTTCCACCAGACCAGCTGAGAACTGGGATACCCAAGGAAACTGGCATTTCCTTGGTTCCTTTTGCGAAGCTGTGTGTCTATGATGTCCATCAGGACTATTCCTGAGGGCATGGACTCTGATGTGAGGAGAACTCACTTGGTGAGCAATCTATTAATGTGCCGGAGTAAACGAAGCAGAGACCTGGGTTCGTGGCTGGAGAAACAGATTTCGCTTCCGTGCGCATTCGGGCTTGAGCCGCTTGAGTGCAAGAAACCAAGCTACTTGGCTCGAGTCGGGCCCACGTTCCAATGAGACCAAACTACTCTATAATCATGGCCGGGCTCGCGCTGGCGAGCGCCGAGTCGCGACTTCGAGGAGCAGCGCAGGAAGGCGAGAAGGGAAGCGAGGGTTTGGGGCTCTTGGGCTCTGCCTCGGGGTTGGATGCAGCTTGCGGGATTCGCCTGAGGTGATGGCTGGTCTTTATTGACCACCTTTGAATTTGCGTGGCTGGCACGGAAGGAGGTGCCACGCGCTGCTGCTGTCACAGCTGATGGCTCCTTGCAGCCACGTCGTGCGCCCAAGGCACGCCTTGTCCAAATACAGAGAGAAGTCCTGCGACTTCAGGGCAATAGTTCAACTGTTATGTACTTTGGGTCATGTTCGACTCGAACCCTTTGGTCCTTAATGCTAACCATGACTAAACTCTTTAATTGAGCGTGTGCCTTTAATTGGATCCTTCACTTTTGATTCTAAGAATGCACTAGGTTTCTTAGTTTTCTTTCTGACCCTTGCAGAGCCTCTCTGCGTTGCTGAATGTGGCCGTGGCCTCTGACGGCGACCTGGACGACGCCGACTTGGCAGCGGCTCTCTGATGAGAAAAAATGGTTCTATTGCAGGGCTTCTGAAAGCATAGAACTTGGCCATTAAAAAACACGAAACTTTCCCACACCAAAAGGGAGCCACCAGTAAGGTGCTGTAAGAACTCCCAGGCTGTTGCTCCTGCCTCACAGGGCCCCTTGTTTGGGATTCAATCAACACCATTTTGGCAATGTTAGAATGTAGAAATTCTCATCACAGCTTGTGCTCCAGGAGAACAAGATGCTGGAGTGTCAATTCCGATTTGCATGTGCAACTATTAGAACGCGAATCACTGCAAGCAGGGCTATGTTGTTGACTGATCCAATTCACAGGCCAGCGGCATGACGGGAGTTTTTTTTGCCACTTTCCTGTCATGTGGCCATGCGGCACATGACATTCTGCTGTGCCAATCAGCGCCATGGTGCGCCAGCGCGGCTTACACTGCGCTTTTGCCAGCATTTGCAGGCTGGGCAACTTACCAGGAGTGAGGCTGATAAGCCTTCTTGGCATTTATAGTGAAACACCACATCCTGAAGCATTCGACAGGTGCGCTGGCATCTCCACTCTGCTGGCTTGCAGAAGTTCTTCGCCAACAAGACCCACAAGAAATACTGTGGCTGCGGTGCGGCACTTAAGCCGGCGTCGAATTCCACAAAACGCATCTCTGAAATTCCATAATCCAGGCAAGCCTAGCGCCCTCCTGCTGGACCGCTGCTCCTTCTGCGGGGAGCAATTGGGTGATGAGCACATCGCTCCGCTGAAGCGAGACCCGCTGCACCAAGCACTCCTAGCTTCAGGCCCGAGCGATCCAAGTCGCGAGGCTCACCGCTCCGAAAAGGGTGGTTCCCCTTTGGGTTCTTTTTAAACCCCTTCGCTATTTGGCTCTGCGCACACATACTGTTCCGCACATGATTTCGCGATTTTCTGACGGAGGAGACTTCCAAGAGCTGCACCGCTCCTTCCACCTGCTGGTGTTGGAGCACCGCTTCCCTGTGGGCAAGCGACACCTGCTGGTTCTGCCTAAAGGAGCCAAGCCGTCGAGCAGATTCGTCGATCGAAGTCGCCGGTTGTCATCGCGTCGGTTGGTGCCTTGAAGTGAACAGAAACTGAATGAAACAGACAAGTCGCCGGCAGTCAATTGCTATTAGTTTGGGGAGGAAGCGAAGAAGAAGGCGTTGCCAACCACATGATCCACGGGTCAAGGCCACTACAATTTTTGTATCTTCTCTTGGAGAAACAAGTAATTCTGTCTGGGGGTTGTTGTTGATTTTCCCCTGTCCTTGTTTTCCAAGCTTCGCACGTCACAGTGAGCCAGAACAGGTCTGGGCTCCTGGAAGCTGGCACATTCTGATTCGACCTTGGTGCAATTGGTGTGGGCGCATGCTGAGGGCTTTGGTACTTTGGCGCACGCAGGCACCTTCTACGACCTGCGCCAGCTCAGGAAGCGAGATGCGCCCTTGCTGGAGAAGATGTACCAGAAGGCTCTTGGCGAGACTGGTGTATGCGAAGTCCCTAGAAGGATAGGTTTGGGCCAGTCCAAAAGCAGCACTTTCACAGGCTGATTCAGTGCATCCCCTTGCAAAGCCGTTTTTTTTTGGATATATCCGTTGAGGAACCAGCACAACTGCTGGAGTTGACCAAATTGCTGAAATTCCAATTCATTGCCGAGTCTTGTCAAAGCGACGCAGTGCTGCTGGCTTCCCTCGTGGAGTCTCCCTGAGGGGCTGGAATGCCTGCAGCAGGCCGAGCCCAGCCCAGTAGCCTGTGGATTTTCGTACCCTGCAGACTCTTGGCCTGTGAGTTAGATTTGTGGTGAGAAAACCACGATGCGATACAGAAAGCTGCAATGTTGGCCCCGGATGGATCGACCTGATTGAGATGGGTGTTCCCGCCCAAAAAAGTGAAGTATCCCCTCTAAAGTGGGACACGCCGCTATCATTCAACCGGGTTCCCACTAGGGTCTTTCTGTCGATTGAAGGATTACAATCACCTCTACCTCCACTTGGTGGAGCCGCCCTTCAAGCGGCTTGAACTCTTCCAGCGCCATGTCTTCTACCCTCTGCCTGAGGTGCAGATGGAGTTGCGGAGGAAGGGCATTGCCACTTGGCCAGTTGCCTTGCTCTGTGCGCACATACTTTGTGAAACGAATCCAAAGATGACAAGTATGTCCAATGTATGTAGATACGTACGCAATGTAATGTAATGTAATGTAATGTAATTCATTGTAATATATTTTATATGTAATTCAAAGTAATGTAAAGCAATGTAACGTAATGTAGAGTAATGCTGTGCAATGTACGTGTATGTAATGTAATGCAGTGTACTGTCATCTAATGTGATGTAATGCAATGTAAAGCAATGAATGGCATGTAACGTAATTCAATGTAATGTAATGTCACGGATTGGAATGGAATGTAATGTATGTATGTATGCAATGCAATGTACTGTAGTGCTTTCATGGATTTTGTTTGTGGAATGCATGTATGTAATGTATGTATGTAATGTAATGTAATGTAATGTACTGTATTGTGATGTAATGTGATGGAATGGAATGGAATGGAATGGATGTATGTATGCATGCATGTATGTATGCATGCATGCATGTATGTATGTATGTATGTATGTATGTATGGTATGTATGGTATGTATGGTATGTATGGTATGTGTGGTGAGTATGTATGTATGTATGTATGTATGCATGCATGTATTGTATTGTATTGTATTGTATTGTATTGTATTGTATTGTATTGTATTGTATTGTATTGTATTGTATTGTATTGTATTGTATTGTATTGTATGTATGTATGTATGTATGTATGTATGTATGTATGTATGTATGTATGTATGTATGTATGTATGTATGTATGTATGTATGTAATGTATGTGTGTATGTAAGTATGTAAGTATGTATGTATGTATGTATGTATGTATGTATGTATGTATGCAATGTATGCAATGTATGCAATGAATGCAATGTATGCAATGTATGCATGCATGCATGCATGCATGCATGTATGTATGTATGTATGTATGTATGTATGTATGTATGTATGTATGTATGTATGTATGTATGTATGTATGTAATGTATGTATGTATGTATGTATGTATGTATGTATGTATGTATGTATGTATGTATGTATGTATGTATGTATGTATGTATGTATGTATGTATGTATGTATGTATGTATGTATGTATGTATGTATGTATGTATGTATGTATGTATGTATGTATGTATGTATGTATGTATGTATGTATGTATGTATGTATGTATGTATGTATGTATGTATGTATGTATGTATGTAATGTAATGTAATGTAATGTAATGTAATGTAATGTAATGTAATGTAATGTATGTATGTATGTATGTATGTATGTATGTACGTATGTATGTATGTATGTATGTATGTATGTATGTATGTATGTATGTATGTATGTATGTATGTATGTATGTATGTATGTATGTATGTATGTATGTATGTATGTATGTAATGTAATGTAATGTAATGTAATGTAATGTAATGTAATGTAATGTAATGTATGTATGTATGTATGTATGTATGTATGTATGTATGTAATGTATGTATGTATGTATGTATGTATGTATGTATGTATGTATGTATGTATGTATGTATGTAATGTATGTATGTATGTATGTATGTATGTATGTATGTATGTATGTATGTATGTATGTATGTATGTATGTATGTATGTATATGTATGTATGTATGTAATGTAATGTAATGTAATGTAATGTAATGTAATGTAATGTAATGTAATGTAATGTAATGTAATGTAATGTAATGTAATGTGTATGTATGTATGTATGTATGTAATGTAATGTAATGTAATGTAATGTAATGTAATGTAATGTAATGTAATGTAATGTAATGTAATGTAATGTAATGTAATGTAATGTAATGTAATGTAATGTAATGTAATGTAATGTAATGTAATGTAATGTAATGTAATGTAATGTAATGTAATGTAATGTAATGTAATGTAATGTAATGTAAATGTAATGTAAATGTAATGTAAATGTAATGTAATGTAATGTAATGTAATGTAATGTAATGTAATGTAATGTAATGTAATGTAATGTATGGTATGTATGTATGTATGTATGTATGTATGTATGTATGTGCGTATGTGTGTATGTGTGTATGTGTGTATGTAATGTATGTATGTATGTATGTATGTATGTATGTATGTATGTATGTAGTGTAATGTAATGTAAATGTAAATGTACATGTACATGTAAATGTAAATGCAAATGTAAATGTATTGTAATGCAATATATATATATAATGTAATGTAATGTAATGTAATGCAATGCAATGTAATGTATGTATGTATGTGCATACATATGTATTTTGTTGTAATGTAATGTAGTGTAGTGGAATGCATGAAATGCAATGCAATGCAATGCAATGTAATGCAATGTAACGTAATGTACTGTTTAACGTAATGTCATGTGATGTAATGTAAGGTGTTTGCTGAATGTGTTGCAATGTAATGCGATGTGAACGTATGTGATGTGATGCACCGCAATGTATTGTGATGTGACATGATGTGCGGCAATACCTTGTGTGGTTGGAATGCAATGTAATGCATTTGAAATGGAATGGAATGTAATCTATGTGCTTCTTTGTGGAATTAATGCTATATTATGCAGTGCAATATAACGACGCGTGCCTGTTTTGGCAGAATATGTCGTTTTGTTTGATGCATTTTTCTTGCAAGCAACCGGATGCTGATCCGCAACACTCCAGTCACAGTGCGGCAGTGAGCCTTGTCAAAGTGCATATGTGCCAGCGCACCGCTCCTGTTCAAACCACTTCCTGAGTTTCATCGAATTGGACAATTGCCCCTAGAGCAAACGCAAGCAAAAAACAAGGCAACATCAGCCTTGCTTGTGTGCCAGGAAGCACAATCGTTGGTTCCTTGGGACCCGTGCGTGGCTCTTGCTTGACTATGCCTCCTGACAAAGCTCAGGTTCGCCCACATCCAATATTGGATGATGGCGAGGAGGCTCAAAACAAGTGGATCATGAGCATGCAGAGCTGGGCGCAGATGCATCCAGCCGAATGACGTACACTTCGATGGGCATCCAGCTTTCAAGCTCCAGGTCCTCTAGCTTTTGGCCGTGCGAGATCTCAAGCACGCGCTCCGGAGTTGACACAGCACCCAGGCCACCGGGAAGGCTCAGGATCGAGTTGATGCGAGACGAGGTGATGGCAGAGATGGGCCGCAGCAAAATGCGCTTTGAATCGCATCACACGTGTGCAGAGTGGTGCCGCCTCACCCAGAGCTTGTTCCCGTGTGTGAGGCAAGTATTCGCGCGCTGGTTGTAGGACCGGATTTTAGGCTCTATCCCAGAGCTCGTAGAAGCTCTTGGAGCTGAGGACGGTGTCGGGCCCTCCGGCTTTGCTCGCTTCGCTTTTGCAAGTTGCGTGACTTGTGACATGGCATCGCTCGATCTGTGCTCCGTCAAGTGGCCCAAGGTGCATTTCGCTGACTTCGGTCAGCGCGTCCAAGACGCCGGCTGCCTGGCGTTGTGTTGAAACAAGCTCAAATTCATCAATGAAAGCAGCATATATTCCTCAAAGAAGGCCCCCCTTCACAAAAGGCATGCCCGCATCGATTCAAGAGCCAACAGATCTGCGGCAGTGGCTGCGGGCTATACACGTCTGCACGGCCTCAGGCAATGCCACTGGAGGCAGCGCGGCTCTCAACATCTGGCCTGAAGCGCTGTTGAGGTTGAGTCAAAATATTAGTAGTCCACGGTTTAGTTTGGGGGACAGGGGACTCGCGAAGGCTTGGCAAGGGGACACACTCATTTTCATTTTTCTATTTCCCGCGAGCGGTCTGCAGCACGTGGACGTGGCGTTCAATTGTGCTGCTACCATGTCAGGTCGGCATGTTTCAGCTTTGCTCAAGCGCGTGGGCATGCAATGACATTCCATGTGCCCAAAACATGCCATGTGCACAGCAACCACAGCACATGAAACAAAGTTACCCTTAACCACCGAATGATTCTCTTTGAGAACAGGCACCGTATTGCAAACCACTATATATAGAGGTGCGCATTCTGCTTTGCATTCAGTATGACCGGTAGTATGTTTGTGTAGAGGCTTACCCACCATAGCAACTTCCTACCTTCCGTTAAGGCCAACTGGCTTCCCGTCGCTCAGCGCATGATTTGCCCTCGCTGGCTGCTGCTTTAGTGATGGATTTTGATCTCGTCAATGAGCCATCCACGGCGGAGGCTCCTCGGTCGTCTTGCCGGCCCCCACGAATTGTTGGAAGCTCCAAGCTGCATACTGGAGAAACTGAGAGAGTTTTGTCCCACGCTCTTCCAGATATTTCAACAGTGTTCCATGTGTTGCATGGCTTATTTCTGCGCCACTAGGGAAATACACATGTTTGAGGAAATGCACATGTTTCAGGAAATTCACACTTTTGCTGCTACAGTTCTTTTCCCCCCAAAAGCATCAGTGTGTTCGGGACAGGGCGTCGGCATCCTATTGCGGTTCGCGCACCGCTGCCTGCAGCCGGTCGCATTCCCATGAAAGCGCGCACCTCCAGGCTGCTTGCGCGTGGTGCCAAAATGCTCACGTTCACTTTCCCACGGCAAAGCGCTAAACCTCAACACGCTAGACTCTAGCTTGTTGAGGTTTATCGCTTTGCGATGGGACACTCCACTCCTCATCAAAAATTCAACAACAACCACGCGATTTTCACCCCGCAACACTTCGATTTCCAAGTTCGTGCCCAAGGGCGGGGCTTGGACGCAGGTACCCGTACTTGCATCGTCGCCATGTTTCAGGGAACGGGCATTGCTTCTTGAAGC